CCTAACAGAAGCAGAGGTAGAGGGAAAACCGCGCAACCAGGGCGAGAAAGGAGAAAAAAAAAAGGAAACAAAAACTCCTGACCTCAGGTGATCCACCTGCCTCCGTCTCCCAAAGTGCTGGGATTACAGGCGTAGCCACTGGGCCTGACTGCTGTTAATTTTTTAATCAGTTTTATTGTGTTAAACTTATGTACAATAAATGCATCCATTTAAAGTATATCATTCAAGGCTGGATGTGCTGGCTCTCATCTATAATCCCAGCACTTTGTGAGGCCAAGATGGGTGTATCGTTTGAGCCTAGGAGTTCAAGACCAGCCTGGGCAACATAACGAGACCCCATCTCTACAAAAATGAGCCAGGTAGAGTGGCATGCACCTGTAATCCCAGCTACTTGGGAGGTGGAGGTGGGAGGATCACCTGAGCCCAGGAGGTTGAAGCTACAGTGAGCCGTGATTGTGCCCCTGCACTCCAGCCTGGGCGACAGAGCAAGACCCTGCCTCCAAAGAAGAAAATAAAGCATATAATTCAAACAGTCCTGGGAGTTATACACACCCAGGAATCCGTCACCACAATCAAGACACAGAGCATCTTCCTCACCTTCCAGAGACTTCCTAGGGGTCTCTCTGGTCTGTTCCTCTCTCCTGCTCCTGTTGAGTATCAGTCCTTCATTCTGACGAAGTTGCCCAGCCCCAGGCAGCCGTTGATCTGCTTCTTGTCAGAACAGATGAGCTTGCCTTTGACATTTTTATATAAGAGGAATCATACATCGTGTACTCTGAGTCTGCCTCTTTCATTGAGCATAATTTTGAAATTCATTCTTTTTTTTGTGTATGAGGCAGTATTTCCCTTTTTATCATTGGGCAGTACACCACAGTGTTAATATGCCATATTTCATTTTTTCATCTATTGACAGAAGAGTGTATATATATATATATTTTTTTTTTTTGAAAACATTTTTGGCTATTGTGAATGGAGCTGCTATGGATATTCATGCATAAGTCTTACTGTGAACACGTTTTCATTTCTCCCAGGACATTCCCTAGGATTGGAATAGCTAAGTGGCAGGGTTAGGTATAAGTTTAACTTCTCAAGAAAGTGCCAAAGAAAACTGCCTGTATCGATTTGCACTCCCACCAGCAGCCTCTGAGAGTTCCGGTTGCTCCACTTCCTTGCCAACACTTGTCATTGTCAGTCCTTTTAAATTTAGCCATTTTGGTGGGTGTGCAATGCGCGGTGTCGCACTGTGGATTTCTCACCGTGGTTGGAATTTGCATTTCCTTAATGAGTCATGTCTAGTGGGTGTGTAGTGAGCGGTATCTCCTTGTGGATTTCATTTGCCTTTAATGAGTAATGACAACGATGAGCCTCTTTTCACATTCAGATTGATCGTGTGTTGTGTATTTTTTGAGACAGGGTTTTCACCCAGGGCGTGGTCATAGCTCACTGCAGCCTCAAACTGGCCTCTAGCTATCCTCCCACTTCAGCCTCCCAAGTAGATGGGACTACAGGCCTGCACCACCATGCCTGGCTAGTTTTTAAATGTTTGGCAGAGATGGGGTCCCATGATGTCATCCAGGTTGGCGTGCAGTGGCGTGGTCATAGCTTACAGCAGCCTCAAACTCCTGGGTCAAGTGATCCTGCCACCTCAGCCTCCTAAAGTGCTGGGACTCAGTTACCACCAGCATAAGTCACCACCACACCTGACTTTTGTATCCTTTCGTGTGTGTGTGAAGTGTCTGTTTAAATCTTTTGCCCGTTTTAAAATAACAGCTTTACTGCGAGAGAATCCACACCATACAGCTCACCCCTTTACCCATTTGAAGTACCATTCAGGCCCAGTGTGGTGACTTTGGCCTGTAATCCCAGCACTGGGAGACCAAGGCGGGTGGATCATCTGAGGTCAGGAGTTCAAGACCAGTCTGACCAACATGGTGAAACACCGTCTCTACTAAAAATACAAAAATGAGCCGGGCGTGGTGGCAGGCGCCTGTAATCGCAGCTACTCGGGTGGCTGAGGCAGGAGAATCGCTTGAACCCCGGAGGTGGAGGTTGCAGTGAACTGAGATCATGCCACTGCACTCCAGCCTGGGCGACAGAGCGAGACTCATCTCAAAAAAGAAAAGAGGCCGGGCGTGGTGGCTCACGCCTGTAATCCCGGTACTTTGGGAGGCCGAGGCGGGCCAATCACAAGGTCAGGAGATCGAGACCATCCTGGCTAACACGGTGAAACCCCGTCTCCACCAAAAATACAAAACAATACCAGCGTGGAGTGGTGGTGCCTGTAGTCCCAGCTACTCGGCGAGGCTGAGCAGGAATGGCGTGAACCGGAGCGGAGCTTGCAAGTGAGCCGAGATCGCGCACTGCCTTCCAGTCGGAGACCAGCCGAGACTCCCGTTCTCAAAAAAAAAAAAAAAGACAGAAACGCCATACACCTCGGCAGTCAGTCCCCCTTCCTGGTCTCCCTCCCCCGGGTCCTACGAAACCACTCGTGTACTTTCTGTCTCTCTAAATTGTCCCGCTTTGGACGTTTTGTCTAAAGGGACTCGAACAGCGTGTCGTCCTGGCATCTGGTTTCTCTCACTTCATGTGATGTTTCCAGGCCCAGCCACGTTGCAGCGCGTATGGCCTGTGTTTTACGGGACCGTCTGTCTTATCGTTGAACCGCAAATGTTCCTTGTAAATTCTGGGTATACGTCCTGCACATATTTCTCTTATTCTGTGGCTTGGCTCTTTATTTTCTTAATGAATCATTCAAAGAGCAGAAGCGTCAGTCCTGGTTTCCGCCTTCTCTTCTCTCTTCCATCTAACAGGTCTCTGCCTATTCCGGGCCCACAGACACTTTCTCTTGAATTTCCTTCCAAAGGTTTTATAGTTGAAGCTTTTATACGCAGGTCTGTGGTTTGCTTTGAGTAAATTTTGTGTATAATATGAGGTGCAGGAATCTATGTTCTTTCAATCACATAGATATGGCCCAGTGCGGTGGCTCACGCCTGTAATCCCAGCACTTTGGGAGGCTGAGGCAGGTGGATCACGAGGTCAGGAGATCGAGACCATCCTGGCTAACATGGTGAAACCCCGTCTCTACTAAAAATACAGACCAAAAAAATTAGCCGGGTGTAGTGGCGGCGCCTGTGGTCCCAGCTACTCGGGAGGCTGAGGCAGGAGAATGGCGTGAACCCGGTAGGCAGAGGTTGCAGTGAGCCGAGATCGCGCCACTGCACTCCAGCCAGGGGGACACAGCAAGAGACTCCATCTCAAAAAAAAAAAATCACATAGATATTCCCATTTTTTCCTCTTTCTTTTTTTTTTTTTTCCACTAGAGATAGGGTTTCATCATGTTGGCCAGGATGGTCTTGATCTCTTGACCTTATGATCTGCCTCAGTCTCCCAAAGTGCTGGGATTACAGGCGTGAGCCACCGCACCCGGCCTTTTTTTTGAGATGGAGTCTCGCTCTGTCGCCCAGGCTGGAGCGCGATGGCGCGATCTCCACTCACTGCAACCCCCACCTCCGGGGTTCAAGTGATTCTCCTGCCTCAGCCTTCCGAGTAGCTGGGATTACAGGCATGCGCCACCATTCCCGGTGAATTTTCATATTTTTAGTAGAGATGGGGTTTCTCCGTGTTGGTCAGGCTGGTCTCAAACTCCTGACCTCAGGTGATGCGCCCATCTCGGCCTCCCAAAGTGCTGGGATTACAGGCGTGAGCCACCACACACAGCCTTGTTTAAAAATTCTTTATAGAGGTGAGGTGTCACTACGTTGCCCAGGTTGGTCTTGAACTTCTGGCCTCAACTGACCCTCCCATGTCGGCCTCCCATGGTGCTGGTTGAAGGGTGAGCCCAGGGTGGCCACAGCACATTTTCATCATTGTCTGCAGCTTGCAGTCTGCTGGTTCAGGGCTCAGCCAGGCACGTGGGCCCCTCCTTGGCTCCCCTGGCTCAGGCCTCTCCTCGAGCTCTGGGCCCTGGGTATTCTGGGCTCCTTCCTTGGTTTCCTTTGGCCTTCGGCCAGGAAAGTGGTGGGTGTCCGAGGGAGCCTGGGCCACTTCACAGCACCGCAGCCCACCTGCGGCTCCTTCAGGGCAAAGCTGCATGGACACAGAGAGAACGCCACTCCGAGCCGGCCTCCCCCTTCACCTGTCGGTTCCCTCCCAAGCCGGCTGCCTTCTGTCCCCTCCCCAGAGCCTTGGGTAACTGGTTTGCTACAGTGTGTCTGGAATTTTTCAGTTCTCTGTGGAAGCGAGTTTTTTAAAGGCCCTTAATCCCCTCTTGACATTTGTAAGTTGACGCTTACACCCGGTAGCCTTGCTGAATTCTGTGTGCGTGAAGGTCAGGTTCCACCGCGAGTCACAATAGAAAACCTGCTCCGTGGAAAAAGACCTGAGAGGACCACTGCCCACACCTCTGTGCTGCCCACACCTCTGTTCAGCAAGCAAACCTCTGCAGGTGTTCATAGCAGAGGCAGATTCCACGCTGGGAATAAGAGCTCACGACATTCTGGGAGGGGTTTCGGGCAGGGAGGGGGCCTCTGTGGCCCCAGGTCAGGAGCAGCTCTTCCCTCAGCAGCCGGCAGCCAGCGCAGACTTGTGGGGAAGACAGCTCCCACTTCGCCAGGCCAGCGAGCACCCGCGGGCAGCTCCGATCCAGGCGACCCTGCGTGAAGGGGTGTGCGTGTGCTCGGAGCTGGCCCCCGTCCTGCCTCCCCGACCCATGTGCTCGTGCTCCCACAGCCCTGAGACAGATGGCTCACGGCCTTGCGAGGCCCACACCGCACTGGGGTCAGGCTTGTGGCTCCCGGGAGTCCTGTGTGGGTTGTGTGGCCGCCCTCCAGAGCCTGCTGACCTGCAACTGGGGGAGCGGGCGCACTGATCCCTGGGTTTCACCACCACCCGAGAATCAGAGAGTGGGATCCCACCCACACCCCACACCCACCGAGGGCAGCCACGAAACCTGAGCCCGGGATCCCACCCACACTCCACATCCACCGAGGGCAGCCGTGAAACCTGAGCCCGGGCTCCCACCCACGCCCACCGAGGGCAGCTTTGCCTTCCCAGGCACCCCTCCTCCCCCAGGTGGCCGGGCCTGGCCCGCTGCCCGTCCAAGGCTCCTGCTCGGGGTCTCCACCCACACATTCCTGCGGCGTGAGGCTCCGCCACTCCCTGCCGCCCCGGGCAAAGCCATCATTTGTTCCCTTTGACAGCCTGGGAGGCTGCCAGGCTCTCCACCCCCACTTCCCAGTTGAGGAAACCGAGGCAGAGGCTCAGGTGTGGCCAATCACCCTGCATGTCAGAGTTACCCTGGGCAGGGCCCACTGAGACCTGGGAGGGGCCACTTGGGACCTGGAGGGCTGGGGGCTGCCTGGGCGTTAGGGGTAAAGCTGCCTCCCCAGAAGGCCTCGGAGGCCTGGGCTGGGCTCCTCCTTTCACATCGCCCTTTGGAGGACCACGTGTGGGCATTGGTCCGAGACCTGAAAGGGGCCGTCCTGTTCCCCGTGGGTGCTGCCAGCGCCACGCACTCCTCTTTCTGCCTGGCCGGCCACTCCCGTCTGCTGTGACGCGCGGCCGGAGAGCTGCTGGCGGACCCACGGTGCCTCCCTCCCCGAGATCTGTAAGTAACAACCTTTGCGCTCTTTCTGTTGTGGTGTGGATGGAATCTGCACCTTCCATCTGGAGAACTGGGGCCGCTCCAGGCTGGGCTTCAGCACCTGAGTGATGGTCAGGCTTTATCGGGACGCAGATTTCACCCCGCAGGGCACACGCAGACCCATTTGTTTGGAAGCGGCAGTCCTAAGGCAGCGCAGGTGCCTCCATGTCCCCAGCCCAGCCCTCCTGCAGGTGTAAAGGATGCAGATTCCAGGGCCCGCCGTGGCCTGCAGAG